GTGTCGTGTCGTGTGTGTGTGTGTGTGTGTGTGTGTGTGTGTGTGTGTGTGTGTGTGTGTGTGTGTGTGTGTGTGTGTGTGTGTGTGTGTGTGTCGTGTGTGTGTGTGTGTGTGTGTGTGTGTGTGTGTGTGTGTGTGTGTGTGTGTGTGTGTGTGTGTGTGTGTGTGGTTCGTGCGTGTGCTGCGTGTGTGAGACGCGAACATGTACGCTAGTTCTCACCGCCGCCGCTTCTAGATTTTTGCTATTGACTCTTTACCTAGCATCATGTTTTAAATGAGCAAGAACCTGTGCCGTCGAGTTTAATTAGTTTCGCAGCCATCCCCGTACGCATAATATGGGTTGGGCTAATCGCTTCTCGTTGTGCGTACGAGTCCAGACTACTGCATGCATGCATATTATCAACCCATATTTAGAACACATCAAACGTTACTGTTACCGCACGCCCACTGAGAATTTAACTTCCCTTACGATTTAATTTGAATATAATATATTATATATTATCTGATAGATAATCATGTTTAGCACGCCCCTATCTGCAGTGCCGTATTCGTAATGGCAACCAAATACATGGCAACTCGAAGACCGTGTATCCGACATTGTCTCCGATGTCAGAGTGTGCTCACCTAAATCTAGTGCGTTGCTCTCGGGCTCTGCCGCCTCTTCGTGCACAACGTCGATGTTGCCCACCATCATCGATTTGCGGATGTTGAGAACGGTCTCTCCGCGGCTCTCCAGCTGCCGAGACACGCGCGAGAACTCCTTCTGCACCTGCTGGTGCTGCCTGCTGGCGGCGACCGCGTTGCTAATGGCGCTGAACCACTGCTCGTGTCCCGTGTCGGCCTTCAGCGTCAGCTTCTTTCTGTCCAGCTTCAGCGTGATGACGTTCGTCTTCCTCACGTGCTGCGTCACCATGTCGACGTGCGTCAGCCGCACCTCGCTGCACGGCTTCGTGCGTCGGTCGTCGGCGCTCAGCCAGTTGATGACCACCTTGAAGTAGACGAACGCGTCCGACGTCAGTATGCAGTAGCGCCTCTTCCACTGACCCATCACCTTGTTCTTGTGCACCTCCATCCATCCCTGCTTGACGAGTTCTGGCTCGGCAGCCGGGAGAGCCACGGACCGACGCAGCTGCACCTTGGCGCTCATTTCGCGAGCATACTTCACTATCTTCTTCGCTCGACTCTCTGTGAATGCAGACTCGGCGTGAGGAATAGAACGGGCCCGCCGCGCTCTGCGGTACTGTCAGGTACCACCAGCGTCTCGGATTTACGTCATCCCCACGAATGCTGCTTTGCGCCACGTGCGTTTATGGTAGGATCCGTGTTCCTATTTGTAAGATCAGACTGATCGTTGCGTGGCGGATATGAGTGCAAACGTATCCGCCGGAAAAACAACCGAGTTTGAACGGGATTTCAGTCGATCAGCGCTAGGTTCAATATAGCCACCTGGCGTAACCTATAACAGCTATATGACGACAATCGTGTAGGCAACGCACACTGGCAGCACTTGCAGCGATGGCAGCAGACGGGACGATCGTGAACGTAGTCAGACGCTCTGCCCGATGTTTAATCAGATTGTTAACGTAAAAAGGAGCGAATTCGGGAGGTATTACGCCATCTCCGTCCCTCATACATATACGCGCACATACACACATTCACACACGCTCGACTTGTCCCGCCTCGCCTGTCCCCCACGTATTGCATACTAAGTTGCCAACCGGAATCCGGTCATTGCAACCCATGTTACAATATACAAAGGAAGTTTCAGGGCCGCGTCAGCGGCACGGGAAGTACAGTCACTTGTATGTGTGTGTGTATATATATATATCTCTATTATCCACTCTTGATATATATATATATTACTCGCCTACGTTGCGGAAATGACCGCGAAATGGAAAATGACAGTAAGGTAGGGCGAAACTGCTTAAGATCGTGTCGTAAAATAACGCGATTGATTCAACGTGATATTGCATCAGTCGCCAGAATACTAACTTTGCTATAAACACACAACCAACCACATGATGAGGCATACAATATAAATATTTATATTATTCATTACATGAGTGTACAACGTGAAACCGGAAATTTACGCGTTTACATTTTACTGACCCTGTAAACCTATCGGCTTCTCAAGTTCTTAGTTGCTTCAGACATCTTACAGGAGACAGCTATAAATATTGCATTATTTCTCTTTTGTTAGAAAATGTTATAGAGTGTTAGTAATGTTTTTAACACGCATATATACATTATATACATATATACGTGGTGTAAACCTATTACATTATAGACCAGCGAAGTAAAATATCAATAATGGTAACTTTTGCTATATATAATAATATATTTTGCTATGCCTCAATTTTGAATGATTCTACCACAATTTTTCAAACTGAAAACAAAATTTCGGTGCAACGAACGCATATTTTACCGCCATTAATTAAGCGCCACATATAAGTATACTTCATGTATTTAACTCATAATTAATTAATGTGCGCTTGAAAATAGAAGCCAATCACACAATAAAGGATGCGCTAGGAACAGTCATGGCTGCTGTGGTCTTATAGATGGCAGGACTGTTACAGGGACGCTCAGTAATCGAGCACGGGAAACTAGTTTGTGGTTTTGCAGAGCATCTCCGCCATTGGCTGTAATAATAATCTCGCTCTTGAATGAGTTGTTGGTTTTTTTTCTCGGAAGATATCAGACGATCCTAAAACATAATTCAGTGATATTGTAATTAAGAGACTGTATATGCACTGTGCCATAAATAGCGGGTCAAGATACGATAGCGATCATACAGAGACTAATTTGAATAAACGTCAATTCTAGCTGAACTAACGCTTGTAAAAGTGACACGAGGTGTCGCCACAGACCCGTACCAAACCAAGGCCTATAGATAAACACTTATCTATAGGCCTATGTTACCAAGGTTTATCTTACCAAGGTTTATGTTACCAAGGTTATGCCTATGTTTGCCTATGCCTTTGCCTATTCCTATGCCTAAGGTTAGGCCTATGTTTAGGCCTATGTTACCAAGGTTTATCAAGGCCTATGTTACCAATGTTTATCTATGCCTATGCCTATGCCTATGCCTATGCCTATGCCTATTGCCTATGCCTATGCCTAAGGTTAGGCCTATGTTTAGGCCTATGTTACCAAGGTTTATCAAGGCCTATGTTACCAATGTTTATCTATGCCTATGCCTATGCCTATGCCTATGCCTATGCCTATTGCCTATGCCTATGCCTAAGGTTAGGCCTATGTTTAGGCCTATGTTACCAAGGTTTATCAAGGCCTATGTTACCAATGTTTATCTATAGGCCTTGTACCAAACCGTATGTATGGAATGTAATAGAGTTAACAACAAAACAATTAAGGCAACAAAACAAAAGTTAAGGCAACAAAACGAAACTTGCGTGTTCGCTTCATGCGTTGTGCGTGCGTGCGTGCGTGCGTGCGCGCGCGTGTGTGCGTGTATTACGTGTGTGTGTGTGTGTGTGTGTGTGTGTGCGTGTGTGTGTGTGTGTGTGTGTGTGTGTGAGAGAGAGAGAGAGAGAGAGAGAGAGAGATTCAGCGACTGAGTCAGCGATAGCGAGAGCAAGTGTGAGTGATTGAGTAAATGAGCGAGCGACAGGGCGAGCGAGCTGGCGGCCCAGAGTGATTTCCCTACGGTACAAATGATTTGATGTAAATCAATGAAAATTCATTTGAAATTTATCACGTGTTATCCGTATAAATATGAAACATTGATCGAGTAAGAAAACGTAACACTTAATTGCACAATGAACGTTATGCACACATGCATTATGATACACTATGCACGTTCCTTTCTATACCTCGAGTTGGGAGATTTTTTCTTCCAGCGTCGACCATATCTGGGCGCGCTTCGAGCGGCAGCTCTGTGCGTAGCCTCGGTTCTTCAGCGTGCGTCGCTTCTTCTTGATGCGCATCACTTCCTCGCGGGGCTTACCGATCAGCCTCTTGTTCAAGTCCTTGACGGAGAGATGAAGAAGCTGAGCATCTTCTACGCCCGTTGCCATGACGAGGCGATACTCGTCGCTGCACGACGACGACGACGACGCGTCGCCGTGCGTCTCCGTCTGCCTGTTGACGTCGCTCGTCGAATTCTGGTAGCTCGGCGACGTCGTCGCTTTGTTCGAGAAGAAGCCGTCGCTGAATGGGGAGCTGTGAATCTCTGTGGACGCGTAGCAATCCATGCCGCGATTGTTCCGATCACCTGCACCCCAGTCTCTCTGGCAGTACGTTTGCGGCCAGCTACGCGTATTGTCATCGCCTGTAGGAGGCATGCAGCACGTTGAGTCGGCAGTGGCGACGTTCAGTGTGCCGACGAGCGTACCGATGTCCGGGATCGGGCTGGATGGGACGCTCTTTGCCACGGGTGGATCGCAGCCTGGTGTCACGGCTCTTCCTAAATCTAGGTAGAGATGGTCGAAGTTGAATGAGTCTAAGAATTCGCGCTCTAGTTGGCCGCCAATACTCTGTGAGACCGTCTCCATCTTGGCTGGAATTATTTCTTTTCGAAACAGCAATGTCGAGAACGCAGTAGATTTATATGAGCAGTTGTTCAAGTGGCTCGCTTTAAGACTGCTGTGTCTGGATAGACGATCTACATTACTTTCTCCTTTGTCAGATTTCCACCAGATATGCGCGTTTGTCTGCATTACAAATTTACAGGTAGTTGATTCGCTTCACTATTCCGATGAAATTGACATCGCTCTGGTCCGTCCAATTCCGAAGAACAGATTAAAATTATTCCCTCTGATGGACGCGAAACGAGAATTCCACCGATGTGTATATCGTAAACAACAGATGTCAGTCAGGCGGTTTTCAAATGTTGTAGTTGCTCCGTGACCCGCGGTAAGCAAAGACCGCGCAGAATTTCATAATGTTGATACACCTGCATCTAACACTACTAACGAAAGCTGTTCCACGCGCACGAGAGCTGTTCGAGAGAGGAAGTCCGAAACGTCTGTTTGAAGGTCGCAGAGCACGTTTTTCGCGAGTAAAACATTCCAGAGGCGGTGTTACATGATCTCCGCTCAGACAGTGATACACTCGATGTTCTCCCCAGCGTGTCGAAGAAAGTGTGCATATGAAGTTAGCCCGCGTGTTCCGGCTGTGTTATACGACAGGGAGGTGCGTGCGATGACTGACACACCCCCACACACCCCCACACACACACACACACACACACACACACACACACACACACACACACACACACACACACACACACACACACACACACACACATCGTGACAGTCAGCTGGCAATTCTATTGGGTACATATTCTCACAACGTCGACAGTTATTGGTGCACTCCGTTGACTATCAGCAAACGTGCGGTAGCTGCAAAACTTTGCGAAAAAACATGACAACGATCTAAAGTCTCGATCTGTCACGCGAGTGACGCACAATAACGATAAACCGACTATAGCGCTATCGCATATCTGACGTTAGTTAAGCGTTTTATTCTTCGCGCAGAATACCACCGAACGGGAGCCGAGAGGACATTCAGCGTAAGATGATTGGAATCAAATGAGTCAGCGAAGTCGATAACAACCCACTCATTTGCGGAGAAGAAATGTTTAAGAAACAGAAAATGTTCGGTCGTGACACGCACATGCACGTATATCACTATGTTACCTGTTGTCTGATGTGCTTTCACATTTGAAATTACATTATTCTAATTATATATATATACATAAATAAATAAATATATATATATATATATACATATATGTACATATAAACATGTACGTAGACACGGACACGGTATTGACGCAAGTGATATATATATATATATATACATATATGTACATATAAACATGTACGTAGACACGGACACGGTATTGACGCAAGTGTATCTACTATGAAATCAATGTTAATGTTATTGAAGATTAAATAAACTTTGCCCGTCCTCTAAGCTCTCTCAAGGATACACGCCGTCGGATAAAGTACGAAAAATAACGCATTACTCGAATCTCGGCGTGTTACTAACTTTTTATCTAGATGCCTCGTAAATCAGGGATGTCAAACAGCGCTGCATGCACGTGATCAGGATCAGCTGTAAACACAGGCGCGTGTAATGGCGACATCTCTGGTTAACTTTCTACCACGAACCATTGAAGTTTATATACGACAGATCGCGTAACTTATTAAACAGCCCAGAGGCGCATGGTGCGAGCTAATCATGAGTTGTATGCGTTGGTGCAATACGTGTATGAATTGCCAGAATCTGTACGAAAATACGATGCTGTAACATCGGAAAGACTCATAAAACGTGCGGGTGTGAAGATGTTTGCGACAAATTTCGAATGTTTCTTGCTGATCTGTGATAAACTTAATCGATTGTTTAAACGCAACACGGTTGAGGAATCCGAAGTACAAACTATAGTGTGTGCTCTTGTGAGAAGGCTATGTCACTGAAATAGATGTCAGTGCCTAAAATTGTATTTATGAACGTGTTTGGTTGACATTCAGAGCTTATGGTTGAAGACTTTAGACTGTAGGTAGATGTGACTCACCCTAACGCGCATACACATTTGGGATATTTTTATAGATACCCGATGCAAGGTTAAAGAGGACGAATTAAAGTACATCATGTACGAAAACTAAGTGCATAGTTTTGATATCAGGCTTCAATTTAGTGCATGACTACGGTTAATATATGACAGCATAAATAGGTCGCTATGGCAAACTCCTGATACACTTCATATTACATTGTATAACAATGCAGTTATTAAGAACTCGATGAGTTGTGCCTATATTATAAGTTATTTCAAAATTTTATTTTGTTATCACACGTTGAGCGGAAACTAAGTTCAGACTTCCCGGTCCATGTATTGTGATAATACCATGAAACGAATGAGTTATATATGCTCACTCGGGCCTGGATATTTGTAGGACGTGTGAAGGGCAACATAGCGATCAAGCTGATACATAATAGCAAATCGACAATCGAAACCAAGATAAAATATATTTAAAACAAAGTATAGATAAACTTAGATAACCTAGTCACCCTACCTCGAGTAATTCAATGACGGCTTCATACATAGAAAGCGAACGTGTGATGACGAACCTCAGTATGAAAGAGAGAGAGAGAGAGAGAGAGAGAGAGAGAGAGAGAGAGAGAGAGAGAGAGACGGACAGACCGACAGACCGACTGACAGACTTGGATATAGGCTACAAAACATTAAAACATTCACGTTTACAAAAATAGCAAGACCATAATTTACGTGCAGACATCATTCCGTCAACGATATATATAACTACTGTCAGTCTAACTGTCACTACTGCTGCCGGCGCGCGAAAGCAGACCTCCAGATGTGTAACTGATAGGTTCATAAGCGGAATAATTACGCAAAAAAAACAAATACGTGTAACCTACGTGTGAGTACGGGCGCGCGCACACACACACGCAGGAACACGCACACGCGCGCAAAAACACACAGCACACACGCGCACGCACGCACGTACGCACGCACGCACGTACGCACACACGCATTGGTTATCGGGCATTTATTACAAACAATGCAGCAGAGAACATGGTTTAAATAATAGTTTATTTACTTATAGTATAGGCTTTACAGAGTAAACAATATTATGACTCAGCTTACACGACAGCTACGTATCCACTTTCGTGTAGAGAGACTATGCATTTTTACAGTGAGTGTGCGGAGCAATTTCAACAATCCTTCTGTTAGAGCATATACAAATTACAATACATAAAACAGTGCAACATTAACATAATTATTATTATTAAATTAATTAATATTAAAAGTTATTCACATTTATTAATGCTCGAATTCAATTAATGCTCAGCTAGGTTAATTAACTACTCTCCATCGTTCCACGTTTTTTCACATTTTTCTTACAAGGTATTCTATTTCCAAATCATGCATGGTTGTTAGATATAATATGCACTACGTTTGTATTTAGTACATTTATACAATCTGTTTTTCGCGACTGCTTGTAAAAATAGCCAAATTTTTCTAATATACTTTCTATTCAGTGGGCAAGTATGGTGTACGGGGATAAATCTGGCATGTCACACGAATAAAATATCAGATATTGTAAACTCGACATGGAAACTTTGGAATATTAGTCATCTGAAAAATCTGAAAAAGCGACAGTGACAACACTATCATAGTACATCAGTAGGCATGACACGAGTACTCAATAAGATGTGCACAGTCGGTGAAAACAGGCAAGGCAAGCCTAAATGAATCCCTATTAGGCTACAGTCTTGAGCATTAGTAACATGGATTGTCAACACTGCATTTACAAAAGTGCATTGACATCATGTCCACTTGTATATTTGCAGATACTTGTCTGTCAATGCAGCCAGGTGACAGCCGTCCAGTGTCTCAACAGGACAAACGTCGATGACTGGCAGGTTGGACGGTAACTTGGACAACACTCTGCCCGTGGCAGTGTCCCACACCTGAGTCTGAAGTATCATCAGTCTTCAGTTAGTGGAGACCGTTGCACATAGTTTTCATGGCAATTATCAGCCATATATTATTACACATTAACTAAATAGATACGTACTTATTCGGATGAGTGCTTGAACTAAATATTTTTTTGGTAACGAAATTATACACCTGACCTAATATTGTAACAGTAAAGGAACTCGTGAGTGTGCACGTCAGTGTATAATACTATACATGTAATTCTTGTTAACGAAAATACAGCGTCAATACTATTTTTAATGAGACCCAAATTATTTTTTGCAGTGTGAGTAAACATTTAGAAATGTGAGATAATCACAAACTCTTTACCCCCTTTTACATGTTTTAGCGATTTTATTACGCGCAACGCAACTCACCGACAAGGACGACTCGTCGCCGGCGCACGCGAACAGTCTCTTCTCCGTGGGAATGTCGACGAGGCAGGACCTAGTCAGCATCTTCTGTGACGTGCCCGCGGTGAACACTTGCACGGGATGGCAGGTGACGACCGTGTCGACCACCGACACATCCTCGCTCACGTTGTTAGCAGCCAACTCGCACAGCTATTGCAAGAGAATGCAAACGTCTGACCAACACTCGGCGAATGACACGAAACGTGACTTTTTACAGGCGGGTGTTATACGTTAATTGAATCCCCGTGTTAGTAGTGGCGGTCAGTCAAGGTTGGCGCTACTGGGCGTGGGTCAACTCAGAGCCATATACAAGAGATATGGAGCCACATCCATCCATGGCTCTGGATTAACCTATATATTAGTCGGAACTGGAGCAAAATTATGTCAAAGTGGCTAACTGATGTCCAGTGTCGAATTAAGCTGGTCCCTATTTAGTTTTTCTTTGGTTTTCAAGACTAGAATGATCAGTATTAAGCAGAGTTGTTTCCCCATTATTTCAACATGTACAAGTACTCTATATCCAGGCTCTAGAATATATAGCCCTCTCTGCGTGCAAAATGAGTTTGGGCATGTAATTATTCTGCCATTCCGAATCACACCCCTATTGGCAGTTTACAGATATTTTCTTCCATCAACAAGTCTAGCAAAAAGCTCACGTTTGTACACTACCGTTTTAAAGAAAATTAATTACATGTTTAATTTGCTCTCCTAGTACTGTAGATGTACCATTCAACAGTGAAATATTGTTAACGTTCAAACAATTGAATGAGATGCAAGTTTCTGTTTTTGCTTGGTAGTTTTGAAGAAATATTTCTGTACATACCACATGCCTGACTGTTGGCCGATTGGCACTGGGCCTAAATGATGCCAGGAAATTCCTCGTAGAATGTTGAAAGCACATACATGTAAGATTTCCTGTAAAATAGCAGTAAGATCTAATATATATGTGTGTGTGCGTGCGTGTGTGCGTGCGTGCATATTTATAATGCATATATATATAACTAAGTAGAAACCTCTACTCTTTACCATGATACTATACACAGCATATGATCTGTTTACAGGACTACAGTAATTTATTATGATTTTATATATAGAAGTTAATAAAATTATTACTCCTTGAAATAACATATGAAAATGTTAGTACTCACCATCCATAGGAAGTACATGTGGTCGATATATACCATTCGGTCGATTCTCATAAAAGTAGTATTTGTTCAGCTGACCCACCAAAAGTCCGCCTTGCCTATGTAAATTAAACTTGAGTTTAGCTATCAAATATTAAATTAATTATAGACATGTATACTCGTTCCTCATGTTGAGTATACTTTCTCTGACATCAATAAAACTCGTATCGAACCGGTTGTAAGCGAATCAAATGCTTCACCATTTTCCTGCACTTGCGCGGCCATGACCCCGCATCGCCCTCTACCTGAAGTCAGCCCACACCTGCGCGACCAAGCCACCGCAACGCCCCCTACCTGAAGTCGTCCCACACCCACCTGACCACGCCCACACATCGCCCCCTACCTGAAGTCTACCCACACCCGCAGGACCACGCCTCCATGACGCCCCCTACCTGAAGTCGTCCCACACCCGCGTGACCACGCCCCCATGATGCCCCCTACCTGAAGTCGTCCCACACCCGCCCGACCACGCCCACGCATCGCCCCCTACCTGAAGTCGTCCCACACCCGCCCGACCACGCCCACGCATCGCCCCCTACCTGAAGTCGTTCCACACCCGCCCGACCACGCCCACGCTCCGCCCCCTACCTGAAGTCGTCCCAAACTTGCGTGACCACGCACCCGCAACGCCCCCTACCTAAAGTTGGCCACGCCCACACGGCCACGCCCCTGCACCGCCCCCTACCTGAAGTCGGCCCACACCCGCGCAAAGCCTACCTACCTGAAGTCGTCCGACGGGTGGCTGGGCACGTACTGCAGGGAGACGACGGGCGAGCGGCTGCTGGCGGTGTTCAGCTGCTCGCAGTGCGTGCGCGTGTTGCGCGTGTCGTACACGAGCACCGTGCCGTTCTGCAGCCCCGCGTAGAACGACGTCGCCACGTCCGCGCTCCAGCAGCAGCTCCACACGGGCATCTCGGCATCGTAGCTGAAAGACGCGCGCTGCCGGCTCATAAACGGGTCACCACGAGCGAGACGGACGACGGGAAAGGGCGAGTTACATAACATTGTTAGTGACATTATATATATTGTTAGAGCGGGCTGCCTTCTTATAATCGGGTCACCACGAGCAAGACAGAAGAGGGGGAGGGGCGTGTCACAGGGCTCGAATTAACCGACGGCACCGACGGCAATTGCCGTCGGTGCCCCTATCAATTGCCGTACTGCCCCTGAAAATCCAACCCGACCGACGGCAGTCACCTGCCTTGCCCTTTTGTGTAATTGCCGTCGGTGCCCTTTAATCTACTGCCCTAGTTTCGTTGTTAGTCGAGTCAACATAACACGTGCGCATGCGTGCTGTAGTTGCAATGATGAGCTTGAAACCGATCACCAGTCGCAGGAGGGAATAATAACAGCATCGGATAATTATTCGCTCCTGATAGCGGGCATGTAAAATTTCTTGTTACTGTACTTCAATTAGCAGAGGGGGTACAGGGGTCGGTGTTATGGTGTAAGCTTACATGGGGGCATATTGTTTTGTACATTAAAAGCAAGACGATGTTGATGTACTAATTTGTTATGAGTTTTCCTTTATTTTACAAAAGTGCCTTGGTGCCCTTCTCAAATTTTGAGAGTTGCCTTGGTGCCTTTTTAAAATTGCCTCTGCCCTTCCATTTTAAAGAAAATTTAAGGTGATATTTCACATGCCCTAAGAAAATTGCCTTGCCCTTCTCGTCGCTTAATTCGAGCCCTGGCGTGTCACTATCCTCCAGTTTGACCTCTTCGGGTAATAGTTTGACGCTGTCGTTTCTAGATGGCGCTACAAGTTATCAATCGGCATCTACCTGAAAGACGCGCGTGTTGCAAACTCATGTAATTGAAACAGGAACACTATTCATAGGTGTGGTAGCTTTATTACTTCACCACGTGTGAGAGGCCTTCTATTTTTTATACCTGCAGCTTACCTAGAGGTGGTGCTTGAACAGTATGTTCATATGTTTGATTACAAAACATTGTTGGTGATATTATATATTTATTGTAGTAGGTCTCAGGGGAGAGATAGTGATCCGCTAGATGGTGCATTATTAGTGTGTTGTGGACATAGAAATCAGTTAACCCTAACCCTAACCCTAATTCTAAAATAAAACAAAATTAGCCAAAAATAATAAAATTAAATAAGAGACCAAATTAGCCAATCAGAGCCGTCCCCTAGCGGATCACTATCTCTCCCTTGTGCAAAATTTTATATATTGTTACAGCGCGCTGCCGTCTTATAATCAGGTCACTACATGCGAGACGGAAAAGGGGGAGGGGGTGTCGCTATCCTGCAGTTTGACATCTTCAGGTAATAGCTTGACGCTGTCGTTTCTAGATGGCGCTACAAGTTATCTTTCGCATGAAACTGACACTCACGGTTTGTCTCGGATAAATTCTAAATGACATTCTAGCTATTGGCAGACAGGCCAGCCAAAAACTACCAGCATCTAGCGAAAAGCCAAAACGATTTGAACTGTAAATAAACAAATCACATGAAATGTGTGTCAAAGTAAAGTGAGACGGCCTGGTTCGCTAGCGACCGCTCGGCCAATGATAGAGTTAACAGGAAATCTTGACACAAAGTATACTAACCAAATTTTCTGTGAAATATGCTGATAGAATGTAAGCAGAGATTATTGCAGATGACCACTCACTTTTGAACGATTGTATTACTGAGCAGGCTTGTCACTTTTACAGTCTTATCAACACTGGCACTAAGCATGAGGCCATCTGGTGAACTTGGATTAAATGCGATGTCGCGTATCATCTTACTGTGCACTGCCACATATTCCCGCGTCTTGAATTCCAGTGTGCAAATCTGAAAAAAATGGTACAGTTCAATAGTACTGATGTCATGTATTCACTTTCCTTTACATGTATCCATACGATTTTTTCATTCTCTAACCATCAATTCCACCAACTTTCATAGCATATGCCATATCAAATTAAAGAAACAATATTATGAATATATCAAAGCATTGTAATTAAAATATCATCTCAGTCCTACACGTGCTATACTGGGCTTGTGCTCAGTTCTATCACTCTGACATGCAACAGTTAGGTCTGCTACAAGAATATGATGACATGAAAAAAATTGACAAGAACAATGGCGACGTCTTTCACCAACAAAGACCATCAAGAAACAATGGCGTTGCTAGTTGTCACAGGAACAATTGGATGGAAAGGGGCGTAGGAACAATTACAAAATCTCCTGGCAAAACAACACTCAAATGCACACGGGATACAATCCATTTCGATGGTTTTACCTTTTTCACACCGAACCCAGGAAAGAGAACGGAGTTGGAGGGCTGGGACACAGCCAGCATGTTCATGCTGTTGCATGAAGCCAACACCCGGCAGCCCGCCTCACACAGCTGCAGTGTCTTCAGCAAAGAGAACGCTGAAGTCTTGCCTTCTCCCATTGTCAGATTCCCTAGAGGTTGCCGATCCATGGGTTGCTTCCCTGATCTATGCAAAGGAGATTAAAATTTGATGCAAACCCAGCCATGTGGAGTGTGATGTGTGTTGTATGGATACAGACTCCTGTATAATAGCTTTATGCTCTTACATAATAACACCATTACTGTGCATTTGTATTTTGTTTAAGTTTAACTATGTAGATGTAAAAAAAAGTTCAAGGAACAACCTAAAATCCACTAGGCTCTAGCTGTTTGTCCAGACAAATTATGACATTTTTTGATATTTTAGGTTTAACTTAACTCATTCTTACCTTCAATGTCACAATTAAAAATATTGTGCATGCTGCTTTCTGTCATATAAATTTCTTTTTCATAGTAAGCGTAACAGTAAAAACTGGCTGCCACCTACACAGCTGTGAGGAAATCCAATCGCACTGGACTACCATGAATTCAGAACACTGATACTATCTAATCTTATTATATTAGTTTATAGAACAAATTTTGAACTGGCATCGACGCTGAATTCCAGGAACTACATGCTTTGCTACTGCCTGATGCATAGTGTGTAAATACTGATAAACATGCAATGGGATAGATAAGGCCTTCCCACTCAAGTACTATGGAGAGTAACAGCTAAATTTTGTTCCCACCTGTATTTTTCCAACTCAGCTGTGGCAGCTGTTAGATCATGCCTCAGTGTACGACATTCTTCGGACATGAGCTGGCAGTGCAGCCGAGCCGTGGCCAGATCTAGCTCTACCTTCCGGTGCTGCTCCCTTTCAGTCACTAGCTCGCTCAATGCTCTGTCTCTCTCTGTCGTGTCGACAGCCTATCAATGTGTTTTTAACCAAGAACGGTTGTTTTCACTTTTACAAATCCTTATCGCCACCATGAAACCAACCAAACAATAGTCTCATACTTCTGTAAGGAATACTAAGGTTCTGCAATTGGACGACATCTCCAAAACTAATGACAGTATCGATTGTTAAATGATTGGCAACATATCTTTCATATAGCATAAATAATACACTGTCTCACACACATTGAAAATCTCTTTTACTAATCACTTACAAATCACTTACAAATCACTATATTGAATGTTTTTAAACTCAAATGTTTTATAACACAGAACTGAAAATATAACATAGAGTGGGAATCAATTTGGTACATTTTGTATTTATTACTTACTTTTAGAGTTTTTGTGTAGATTACCCGTACATCGGCTTTTCTTGCCTTTGCATTACATTGAGGGCACTTGGTTCCCTGTCCACTTAGCCACTTTAAAATACAACTAAAAATCAAAGCAATAACAATGTTTAGGTATATGGTAGGTGTAAAATTAACAAGATCATTTAAGCATTTGAATACTGATTTTGTAAGCTTATACTACACAATAAGCCCACATTCTTGCTAGAATTTAAATTTGATTGTTATTTATTGTTCCTCTCCAATCACATACCTCTTTCCAAATAGATGGCCACACTTCAAGGAGGCTATTCTGTGCTCTCCGGAATTATTCCAATGCTCAAAACATATTGTACACATCTGTGAATTAAGCAGAGAACATTGATTAGGAAATTGAAAGACCATGTAGTTGGCTAAAATCACAAATGTGCGTCTGTGTGTGCACGCATGCATGCATGTGTGGTCGTGTGCATGTATGTATACATGTGTGATGAGCAGTTACTTACATAATAAGCTAACATACAAATGTATCAGCTATACATACATAATTTGTGACAAAACATCTGTGGGCAAAAGTTATTGGAAACCATGATAAGCATCACACTAAAATGTTTCCAGAAGAAACAATATTTCTGGAGACAATCTATGTACAGTACAAATCTACAGGAACAACACCATAAATGGCTGAATTTTACAATGTTTACCTCGCCTTCTTCATCCGTCAGAGAGTCCGTCAGATTAACCTTGCTTCTTTTTGCTGGCAAACGGAAATCCTTAGAACTTTGATCAGCATGTATCGAATTAGCCGTTTCTGTTACCACTGGATTGTCTTGCATGTTTTCAGTAGCCTGCAAGGAAATAATTTTACACAATAGTCAATTCACCCAATGCAGACAGGTGAAACACCATTGCTAACAAATGCTTGCAAGTACTTGCTACGTACTTGCCACGTGCTTGCAAGTACTTGCTAACAAGTACTTGCAAACAAATTGGTTTCAAAGTCCACTTTTGAAAGTCGATTAGAATATATATATATATGTATGTCATAGAACATAGTATGTGTACATTTTAAATGAGATGCCACTGCCAGATAATTTCTTTAATTGAATCCAATTTGGTTCTATAAGCATGTTTCCTGTTGTCTTATCAACTGAGCTCAGTGCTAAGAGCTTGTTAAAAACATTACAGGTCCTGGTACTCATTAAAATACATCACCTGCAGTGCTCGACACAGCCGGTCGCCCGGTCGCCAATGGCGACTAAAACCTCTGCTGGGCGATTAAAAAATACCAAAAACAAAATATTACAGGCCCAAAATAAAATCTTTGGGCAAGTACAATTTCTGTTCGGCGTTAACACAGCGCAAAACATGGTCCGTCTAATTACCGAATGGCACCTAAAAAACAACGAAAGGCGCTATATGAAGGAAGAGCGTACAAAACTCGTGTACAGTACTACCAAGCCTGGATTACTGCTCATCAGTGTGGGACCCACACCAAGAGAAATACAAATATAAGCTAGAAATGATACAAAACAGATCTGCAAGATTTGTTACAATCACCTATGGACGATATAGCAGTACGTCAGCTCTTAAGGACCAACTCGGCTGGCAACAACTTAATTATGTATCGTAGACGCTTTAACTCGAGTGTAGTGATGTATAAGGTTGTAAACCACCTCATAGCAATACCGGCAAATAGATATCTGATCCCTGGGGTGTCAGGTACCAGATCGAAAAACCCCCACTGACCATGCTGCCACCCCGAAAAAGTTGCGTATTTGACAATTTATTTTGCACGTTACAGACCGAGGGCTAATCACAAAAGTGCAATTATATTTATACATAGATGCTATTTAACCGAACGATATTCATTTTAGGGCAAATTTATCCATATTATAACTGAAACTATATGTCGTTTATTATATAAGATATTACAATCCTTTTGCTTTTAAATGAATAAATAAGAAACACCCTCGGTCTGTAGCCCTTGGCTGGAAAGTGGTTTTGCGCAACTTATCAGATCGTGCGCTTTGAGTGGCGCCACCGTCATTGTAATCAAACTGTAGTCGTTGGTTTTAAAACATTTAAAAAAAAATATTTCGAATGATGATTGAACCATGAAACTTTTTATGTAGCGTAATTATAACCTAAATTAGCTGAAAATAACCCTAGAACCTAGAGTAAACTCTCCCTTTAATTCGGAGCCAATGTTTACATGCCACAGCGCCATCTCTTGGATGTTTTACAAGGAAATATGGGGATTTTCAATAAAATAATGCGTTTTTAATGTATTTACCCCGATTTACGTATAGAAACTATATATGTTATTTTTTCTGATTTCTCCGTATCTTTCATTGAATTTTTCATTATCTTTCAATGCGTTTCGGTAGATTTTTCTGCGTTTCGGTGCCTTTTGGTAATTTACCATAATATGCTGTCTAATTAAACACTGAAAGGCACAAAAGGCAGGGTAAAAAATGACGAAATGCCTCTTAACACACCAAAAATACACCGAAAGACACTAAGTAACACCGAAATCCATTCCAAAGGCATCAATAAAGAACACTGAATGCCACAATAAGGCTAAAAAAAGCTCACTGAAATGCACGATAATGAGTAGAAAACTATTTACAGCCAATGCTCTCCTGCTCCGAGTTTAATCGCCGCAGTGCAAACGACAGTTAATAAATTCTAGGTATGTGTGTTCCTCTCCCCGCGTGTACTTCACGTAGTCGCCTGCCATCATTATGACGCGGTTCCGGTCGCATCGCGCCTACTCTCCCTAATAATCTGTGAATCCCTAATAACTAATAATTGGGCTACCACTTTTCATTTTGGGCCAGAAGAAATAAACTTCGACTGGTCCGAGTGTCAAACACTGCACCTGATTCAAAATACTTGATTCAGAGATACTCCTGGGGTAATTTGGACTATGTGTAGGGACAGTGAATTTCCGCGATTGCGGAAAACACGGAAAAGATGTTTTCAAACAGAAAAATGCGGAAAAACGCAATTTAATGTATTAACAACATGGAAATTTCAATAAAATCACAAAAAACCCGTCGAGAATAACATTGGTAATGATCTGTTCAGACAAGTTTCAGAAAGCGAATGGACCTCCAATTACGACTTTTGGTAGCCCTGTGTTTCGGTTTCAAAGGTTGTACCAAATACCTTTTTTTTCATGCAAATATATGCAAACGGAATTTTGCATTTTTTGGTGTGTACAATCTCTATGGCAAAACGGAATTTCCATTTTTCCTTTACTTTTGAAACAGAATTCATGATTTTCCCAAACGGAAAAGGCAATTTTTTGAAACGGAAAAATCACTGTCCCTATATGTGGAACATAATACAATACCTGTTCAGGTGCTACAGGCACGTGGGAGCGTGTCGATGATGCAACACCTGTATTAGGCTCTTGTTGTAGACTTTGGTCATCGGCAGTAACAACGGCCAGCAATGAAGCATTACCGTCGCCATCATTAACCCCTATTGGTTGCCTACGAGATGCAGAGCTTCTGCTAGCAGTTCTCTCACTAGTCCGCTCTGGAGACTGAGGATCCGACGGGTTGCCTTGAGATGATCGCAACGACCGTCCCGTTGAACTCTGCGAGCTGACCAGGCTGATTGTTTCATCATCGTTGTCGCTCTCATCAATCTGGACTGCTGAACGAGATGTGACGTCGTACACGTCGCTGCTGCTGCCGCCGTCTAGGCCAGCCTGTGATCTAGTGCGACGTCCCCGCGTCTGAGCCTGTGACACGCTCGCCTCCATTCCACGCGCTCGACGGCGTGTCCGAGTCACGACACTGCCACTCGCTACTTGCTGCTGTTGAACGCGCTGTGTTGATCGCAGCGAATATCTAGTCCTTTCCCGGTTCTGCACATTGCTCATGCTCACAGTGACACCACTTAGATGACTGCGTTATGTTTCCACGTGTATTTGACCTGATGCCAGTCTATAATTCATATTTTGTGTTCAGACATCACTTCATTTTCACTGCAGTCTATTTCACTAAAGTAAAAAAAAAATATACGGATCAATGTCAATGATATTTTGGGACCCCGCAATGTGTTTTTCGTATATGCACTAAACTAATCCGGGGTGCTAAACTAAGGCAGATAAGGTCTATGTTCCCCTGACCTCTGTTTGACCTGGCTCGTTTAGCTATTTCTGACTAATATATATATATTCAAGAGCCCATTAACCCCAGAGCGTACAACGCTGAAATAGGAAAACCATGGTGTCGTTTCAGCAATTCGTTTTACCTTATTTTGATACTTCTCTACCGGAATATTATGCAGGAGTCATAGCTAGCCAATATAAGATCAACCGCTTGTCTCTACGATGTTCCTATGCCGAGATATAAAGCGATAAAAATCTAGTACTTCTAGGTACTCGCGCCTCTCCCGCGTTTAGTGACTGCTAATGTTGCTTCGACAAAGCTCGTATGTTTCCGTCGTTTATTGATAAATGAGATGAATCATATGGATGAATGAACAAAGCGCAAGGGACTTTGAGTAGACACCTACTGCGCCATTTTCTATTGTCGTTGTTGATCCACGAACATTGCATGTAAAACTTAACGAGTCTTAAACTTATGACGTAACGAGTCAGCGCTCCAAGCGGCGACCGGAAGCAACATTAGCAGTCACTAAACGCGGGAGAGGCGTGTTACTGGGTGATATGGTGCTAGGATTACCTAGAAGTACTCGATTTTTATCGCTTTAGATCTCGGCATAGGAACATCGTAGAGACAAGGTCGTCGGTCGTCGTCGCGTCAGTGTACAATGGCTCATAGGAAACAATAGTTTCTAATTTTCTGAAAAGTCGTTTGTCGTTACGGTCGGTCGTTGTCGCTGCAGTGTGGCTGCGCCAGTCGCCACGACTGTTGTCGTTTGTCGTTACGGTCGGTCGTTGTCGCTGCAGTGTGTCTTGGCCTTTAGTCAGTGTCTGTCGGTCTGGTTCATAAAAATAATAATTAATATAGATAACTATGGTTACTAAAATAAAAAAATTACCAACTAAAATTATCTAACTATAATATTATTCGCAGTGGCTGGAGGTACGGCAGCCGTCGTTCGTTGAAGCCCCTTTTTGGCGTTAGGGTTAGGGTTATGTGTGTGTGTGCATGTGCGTGCGTGCGCGAGCGTGACTGCCTACAATATCTACCTTCTGCCTCTGCATCCACCAGTAATGATGGGGTATCTCTCCCTGGTGACTGTGCGGTCCTAGACGGAAAAAAATTATCAGCAGTAAACAAGCTTCTATTTTGGATAGAACTTTTCTATGATTGATGTATCAGTTCGTATTCAAATTCTCATTAGTGCTTCGCTCGCTCGTCATAAATATCTATAAAAATAGAAGCCCTGTAGACGCAGTGCTGTGGAACACCAGAATTAAAGTACAGAACGAATATAACTACAAGAATAACGCGGTATCATGGAGAGGAATATTGAAAAAAAGCAAACAGACTAGCAGGCAGGGCCCGTCGGGCATGATGAGAAATGGAGACTTGGTGTATGTTTATCCGAAATTGTGATCGAGAATTTACCTCTATCCACAAATTTTAAATGGTCACCCCAATTGTTACAGACAATAAGAGCAATCAATCCAAAATACAGCAAATGAAATACAGTCGGCGGAAGAAAACACAACAGACAGGAATGTCGCCAATCATGGTCGACCTTCTGAACATCTGCAAATGACCAGCAGCTTATTGATGAGTTATGACAGTGAGGTAGCTGAGGAAGATAAACAGTAACTGTGAGAATATTACACTATCCCAGCTAGAAGGAACAGAAAGATTGGAAACTGGCTTCATTTGGGACACCAGGAATGGAACTCCACCCGTCCCACCCCTAGCTCTTTCTTGGCCCGTCCTCCAATGGTATATCAGTGTATTCATTGAAATCGAACCACCATGCTGACAGCCACGTAAACGCACACACATTCGCGATGTGCATCCACATCGGAGTAACCAGGAGCAACCACGTGTGCTGGTCCGGCTGTCTGCCTGTGTATATCCCTCTCGATCTTACGCTCACCGCTCGTGTATCAACTGTTAGGTGACGTCTTAGAACGACGATCACCTTTCTAACCAACATTCGTTTCAAGGAGCGCATTTAGCTCACTGCTTTATACATCGGTATTCTCCTTTTGATATTTATGAAGCTTTATTATTTAAGTATGATATATCATACCCACCCATCGATTGTGTTTTGCAAGAAGCGCAATTATAATTTGAATAAACTAATATATACCTCAATACATTGAATAAAATATCATAATCTTAATCTGGGGAATATAAGTATATCTTTTATTTCAATAAATTAATTACTTTACAACAGCTATGTAAAAATTTTCTACCCATATTTACAATTATTAACAATCACAATTCTAAAGTTCAATATTAAAGTTTGCACGGCAGACTATTCAGTTTTATGATGATTCCCCAAACCAAAATAAATCGCAGCAGATTTAGAACACATCACGTGTTCGTTTTCACTAACGCCATATAAAGGCACTGGCAATAACTAAACGGCATACATCACGTTTACTAATATTAACACCTTCGGTGACGCACGTTTTGATTTGCTTAAAACTGTTGCATAAAATGACATATGCAAGGATCGTGGTACTATTTTACAAATACCATGTCAAGACGTGTCGTATTATAAGTTGACATTTTTGTATCAGATTACTTGGAAATCAAGCCAGTGCGTATGACTATCATAAAGGCACTGATAACACCAAGAATTGGCTGTTCATAATTTAAATACTTGCTTAGAGCTAATATATCGTGATTACACGACCACTATGCTGCACAAAGAGGTCTATATAAGAGATAACCTTAGTCGTTAAACATTATAATAAATACATTTTCCTTTGCCATATAATATCTTTTTAGCTAGTGTTGTAACAAGAATTATGGGAGACAATACCTGTATAGAAAATTGGCGCTACTGCTTGCCAAATCCAACTTAAAAACACCATATCCAGGCACAAGAATTAAAAATATTTTTACTACAAAAATAACACTTAGTGGTCAAAATGTTGTGTTAAAACTGTGACGTGTCATCACGGACCGGTTGTGTAAGAAAGGAATATTCTCACACCCTGCATTAAACATTGCTGACATAGCTCAATATACGTAAACAGTTTATATATTTAATTTAGTGAATACCCCCATTTCATATAATATGTCTGTTAAACCCTGCTTTTCATATTCAATAAAGTTGATTTCTGGTAGAAGTCTGTTGGGTGACAGCAACTAGATACCCAACAGTACATTGAATAAATAAGCCAACCTGTGTCAGTAGAAAGTAGAATATCTTGCAAACATGTTTAGCGATGAATATTGTAAAGGGATACACATAAACCATATCCGGCAGATTCAAAGACATTTAACCTGTGCACTACTCATTATATAATATAATTAGTGCTCTCATCAACCTATATTCCTATAATACTTCAAAAATCAAACTAGAACTTGAATGTACTTAGTAAATAGATCCACAACTTTGGATTTAGTCATTAATTCATAGCATTCGGCAGAAACTGGCAAAAGTAACCGTTACCCATTTTGGTTGTAATACCATTACCATGTGTCATTTGGCTCAAACCCAATAGTAAAATTACTATGAACTAAGATTAACGTTCAGATAACAGAAAATAAAATTTGCACAACTTAACACATTCGGCCGCCTTTCTGTTCAGGCGATGACCGAAACGCAAGAGACTCGACAGCAGGCGGGGGACAAGGAATGCCAACGTGCGGATCATCGCCGTGACGATCGCTCGCGCTAGTCGAGGACGACGCCGACTCGCGGTGGGTTGTCCTTCATCGTGAGCACGCTCACGCTGCGAGCGAGCGTCTCTCGCGTCGACGCCTCGTCGTCTCCGTCGAGACGCAGCGCCTCGCCCGCCTCCTCCTCCTGTCGCGCTAGCGAGTCGGCGAAGTCACACGCGCGCCTCACGAGTGTATTGAACTCGCTCGCTTGCTCTGAGTAGACGTGGTGTCCAGAACCCTTCACCACCTGCCGAGAGAGAAACGTGAGCTGTTTTGTCGCATGCCTGGCCACTCACATGAGATTTAGGCACAGATGACATTGATCCAGTATCATCCCAGATCGTATTTGATCCAATGACATGATGTAAAACATAAGAAAACATGATTTTGTCCAAATTCATTAAATTTATGTTGATTTTTTAACTTTCCTAGCCCACATAAATCTGTATTGACCTCTTGGCACAGTTTATAATTTTCACTCAAGAAAATCACGTTTTTATTAATGACATTAATATTCAACTGAGCATCAAGGTTTTGATATTTGACCAATTATTGGGAAGCAGACCACCTACTAGACAAATTAATAGTAATCTACACGATAAGAGAAGGAACAAAAACTTCAAACTTCAGTGAAGACTAAAGTTTTAACATATGACTCACGTGTACATCGACGACTGAATCTTTTCTCAGGTCCTTCACAGCCCATCCGCTCTCACTGTCTACCCACGACCGAGACCCATAAATCATTGTTATTGGAATTCTGCTGTCGATTTCCTGTATTCGCTGCAGCATCGGGTTCTTTGCCCAGCCGACGCAGACCGTCAGTGCTCTAAATGCACTTTCACCGCTGAAAAAGAACATTTTAACAACATTACATGTATATTATATCAAGAGACCATAATAGAAAATCTATACACTTTTTTCTTTTCTATTATGGACGCTTGATTATATTTAACGTAGACAAATAAAAAGTGATAGAATAACGGTTGTGGTATGTAGATTAACCATGCTAAATGTCCTCCCTCAATTGTGCGTTGTGGATCTAATTCACCAAAACATCCACGGGTTGATATTAGCTCGTTAACCCATCATGAGATCTTTTCATCATGATCTCTGAGAGCAAGTAAGACCAAGGTGGTTTAAACATTTTCAAATAAAGCATCCAGAAACCCTCTCATTTCTTTCCATTGCAAATTGTTGAAGATGATTTATGCCTCTTTATATAGTCAGTACGTTACAAAGTCACACAAGCATAACTGTACGGGTAACACACAACCATAAAACAGTAACAGCCCCATGAAAATTAACTAGGCATGATGGGAGGATAAGACACCATGAACTCATCATCTAGTTATAATGCTGACAGATTACTGTCAGCAGTAAATTGCACCACACCTCACCTTGGCTCCTGAGCATTACAGTGATAGATATAATCATATAAAGCGCCTTCATCTAAATCTTTAAACTTGTCTTTCATATCAGGTCTGATCCGCTGAATTAGAGAAGGACCTGCAATGTAAATACAGCCACGAAATGAAGATTGCTACAATAACTACATATGTTATAATATCAACCACTTAAAATTACGCATTTCAGGCATGAATCTTGCCACTAAAATTCCTACACGTGGAGCTATTAAATTAGTTTTATACAGAGACAGATTTTCATAGTTCATTAATGCTAAAAAGTTTTTGTTAGAGCATGCACACTTATCACGTTGAAAATGGATAACTACATCACTCTGAAGTGGAATAAGATAGAGGAATAAGTGAGAAAAAGAAACAGATTTGGAGTCTCATTCATAACATATCATAAGCCATCCTTAACAGGTTTAAGGAAGTAGACCTACAGCAGTGGCATTAAAATTTCAATGATCCACACACAACCGAGCAATCACGACTTTTATTAATAGTGCCATCTCATGATACAATAAGCTGTAACTTATTATTCAGAATTAATTTATTACAAAATGATAAATTTGTTTAAACAATATAAGATCTATATTACTAATGTGAATAACAAATAACTATATAGTGGTTTTGTAGTAGGCACTTTTTTGTTAATGCTTACGTAGAACTACTGTTTTTACTTGTATGCAGTTTTTGGTGGGTTGCCTTACAATATCTTTATAACCAAAACAGCATGGCAATGAAGTTTCAAGAAGCTCAACTTTTCCAGACATTTTTGGTTAGTTGAGGACATGTTGTTATAGTATTGCAACTACGGTCACTAGCAGGATATATGTAATCAAGGACTTTCCACTTTAACACTTAATAAGGATAATAGCCAGCTAAACAGTACAACCACATAACCTCAAAACAACACTGATTAAAGGTGTATATCCATCCCTACTCGCACTTCTAAATGTACCTTACATGTTTGCGCTACTACAGCAGGCATACACAGTAGGCATACACAGTACCCTCATACATAGGTTATGAAAATAAGCATTTATGTTGAATTTTTCAGATTGCTAAAGTTTGAAGGTCATAGAGATGTATCACCCTTAAACAAGACACCGGACTAAAGAACACCAATCACAGTAAACTCATGCAAAACAGATGTGACCATTTTTAGAATCTGTGTCATACCACAATGAAGTGAGGGAATTGAATACCCCAACTGTGGTGTTTTCTTTTCCTTGGCACGAAAACCAGTATAGTAAGCAGTCGATTCATAAGGCGCGTTCACATGGACGTTTTTAGCTCGAGCCTAATTACGCCCGCGCCAAATTTGGCTTGAGCCGAGCGTTCACACAGACGGTTTTTCGGGGCCGTGCCGAGTTAGCACGAGCCAATTTGGTCCCATCGAAAACGTCTGACTAGGCCCGAGCCAAATTTTAGCACCAGCTAAATCGGTAGAGTGGTAGATGCCGCGAGTGTCGAACGTGTACTTCGACGAAATAAATTCCAAAACAGTATGAAATGTTGAAAAATTTGATCAGGATGCATGTTTTCAAGATTGATAATTGAACTCGGAACAGAAGTAAACACTGAATCATACACAACGCCATCTCTCGACATACTGCCAAAGTATCTGTGAGATATTTGTGCAATAAAATTTATTTGAATTTGAATTTGAATTTGAATTTGACAGTATTCACTTGCGTACGTGTCAATGCTCCGACTTAAACTGGCCCGAGCCAAATTTAGCCCTTTAAGCTCGAGCCAAACCATTACCGTGTGAATGCGGTAATAGTCGCCGCTCGTGATAATGTGTTGTGAACCAGCCAGCTGTGCCTTACTAATAAGAACTTTTTATTAGCTCTTATGATCTAATCATCAATAGCTGGCAGGATAAACTTGCCCGATTGTCCTTAAAGGACTTGATTTTGAGATTTACGTGTTGTCAGGCACTGTCACTTTGACACAAAACCTGATCCAACAGTGACTGTCAGGGACTGCACAACTATTTTTGTTAATGGTCAGCTCACAGCACACATTTATATGCTAGGCAACATGTTGCCCGCACCCACACAAATTAATAATTTATGCACGTATAGCATGCTGAAATTTAGAAGTACTCACAGCAGCCATAAATTCTAGACTGAATGCCTGAGAGAACCTACATTTCAGACCTAATCCCCTCAATGAAATGAAAGTGTCAATGACACTGTAACTCACCACAAAAAAGGACACAAATGAGTGAGTGAGAAGAAGTCAGTTTTAATTGAGCAACCATCGACGTACATTATAGAAACAAAGAGTATATATGGGAGAACTCCCATTATATACTCTTGATAATTAGGTGTAATTTTTTATGTGAAAATAAATGTTTGAGATGTGAAATTCTGAGATGTGGGCGAGTGATGGTGTTACACCTAAATGATCGCCATTTAACGTTTTTATAATATTCAGATTTAGGCACTGCCTAAATGTGGAGCTCCCAATGTGTAACGTGTAAGATTGAGAGGATACGCTTATTCCACGTAGCTGCTATATACCAGGTGACAATGGTGTTTCCCTGCCCATAACACAACTTTTGTCAAAGGTTAATTGGTTGCATGGAAGTGTTTACTTCGTATGAGTTTTTCTAGGCAGTAGCACACGGTTGCCATCTGTATATTGCAATAATAATTTATAAACCAAAATGAATCACAATTTGTGACGGTAGATGACGCTATACCCGCTTTGATGTTTCTTAGCTTGACGATGTCAAGGTGAGCTAAAAACATTAGGCCTACTATTCATTCATTTAATGAGGTCTAACTCGACACCAGTCCATTAACCTCATGTTTACAGTGAGTGGTAGCTTTTGGCATGAGTTCTAAACAGATAAACGACTAAAAATGGTAAATGACGAGAACTCAAACTAATACTGAAACAAAAGCATGCGCAGGCATACCCCATGGTCCTGCTGCCCGGAGGATAGCTAGAGGGTTAAACGGTTGCATGAGGAACACGATGGCTCGGATCCACACAGGCACCCGTGGTCGTCTGCTCAAATCGCTGGTGGTTGGTCGTTGAGGAAAACCCCACGGATCAGCTAGGATTAGCTGCTTCACTCGACTTGGATATCTAAAAAGCATACAGACACAGCGATATAAAGCTAGGAACACTAAGAGCATAGCTTCAGTATCTGCAGACACTGCTGTACAGGGTGGGACAGTGCCCCACAGTATGGGCGAATGATCAGGGAGCTGACACACATCCAGGTGGAACTGTGAATAGCCTTTTGAATTACACCCATCCAACACAGAATGTCTATCTAAGATAATATCAGGAGTGAATAATAATAGATCTAATTATAATTTATTATTATTCACTCCTGATAATATCTGCCCAAACATACAGCCCATGGGTAGCAATCTAGAAATGGTTATGTCGAGACTGCACTGCTAACTGAATTTGTACATACCATCAATTGTATTGATCTGCTCACCTGCTTTCTTCCCCTATATTCAAATCCTAGATCTGCCCTTAAATTGACTATGCCATCTTTGGCTGAGACTGAGAGGGTCTATGTCCTCAAGGGTACTGCCGGAACGTACCCTGGTACTATCTAATATGCCGGACCGTACCTCGCCTACTCAGTACTCTACTAACGAGTCTAGTAGAGGGTCGCCTACTCCCTAACCTTAAGGCCGATGAAAGTTGATGTCATGGTTCTCGTCAGCGCCCGCATCAAATTTTACTCCCGCACCAAAAAAGTTCAACACTCATCGCTGACGAAATTCCCGCATCAAAAAGTCCCCATATGAAATTCCCGCCTCAAAAAATCAACAATCTACAGTCAGCACTACATGTATGAAAGACAAACAGTAAAAATTTGAGTAAAAACTGTCAACAAAGAAGTTATGACATTTTTTAATCTTATTTTGCATATGTACAAGACCTGATACCCTCACTAAGTTCGTAGATGAAAGATGAATGTTGATCTAAATCCCTCATCAAAATCTCAACAATGCCTGACGAGAACCATGAAATCAACTTTCATCGGCCTAACCATATGATATCAGATAGTTACCACTACCAGGGTTCGTTCCGGCGGTAGCCTAACCTGGGCCCCATAGACCCTATGAGCCCATCTTTGTCTCGTTAAGTATGAAAGCGAATGGACTGCCGTACCTCCAGCCTCGAGACATTAAGATACGGCAGCCGTACCCGTAGCCACATCCAATATTATTTATAAATTCTAATTTTTATGGTCTGGTTCGTCGCCGTACAAACAAAGTTGTTTCTAAAGTATAAGAAGATCTAAACAGATTGAAGATCAGGAAATACTCATTTGTACATAGATCAGTGGATTTGTGGGAATGTGGAACAAGCTTCCAGCATTACCCCATGACATTAGTATTTAGTAGTACTAGTAACAGCAAAATCAGTCAGGTTCTTTGAGGCAAGACTAGACAAAAATTGGATAAACCAGCCCCTATACTACGAGTATAGAGAATCTATCCAAGCCACCAACCCTTAACACCGTGACATGGAAAATTGTCGAGACCTGACAGTGACAGTCACAGTACTTAGAGCCTAGAGGCTAGTCAGAAGAAAATCTATGTAAATCTATCTATGTAAACAACGAAAATAGAGGAATCATTTATTAACTTACTCTTTACGAGATCAAATTACGATATACTAATTAGTCGCCGCACAACATTTAAATAAAGGTACATGTGTCTTCAAAATGTATCACTGTATCGTATACATGTAAGGAGCTTGAAGTTACCGCCATTTTATGCGAGTGCATACGCGAGATCTCGCGTAAATCAACAGGCGATATGTGACGTCATTTGAGATATTAGGCAGTCGGCTGAAAGGGGTGGTAGGATATGTTTACTAGGCACTTCTAATTTTTAACATATATTTTAAATTTAATTAGGGTCAGGGTTAGGGTTAGGGTTAGGGTTATGGCACTTTTTAGGGTTTTTGCATCATTCTTTAATATATCGTAAAATATATGTTAAAATTAGAAGTGCCTAGTAAACATATCCTACCACTCCTTTCAGCCGGCTGCAGATATTAGGATAGGAAATCATTTCCGAAAAGAATCATACGAAAAGAATCCAATAAATTTACTCAAGTTTTTTTGGATAAATCACAATGCTACCCTCTGATTTCACGTTGAAAGTGACACCTTTTATGTTGTTAACTCAAATATTCTTCCATAATTTTTTTTGTGAACAAACTTTCCCATGCAGGCACACACAGGGCACACATGAAATGGTCACTTTGCAATGAGATTTTACGCGAAAATTTAAGGTAGGTTTATTTTAAAAATTCACCGGCCACCACAGGAATGCACATTGGACGAGCCACGCACACCGCAAAATGCAGCAAGTATTCTAGTTTCGAAAATTAACAATTGCAAAGAGCTCTCTCTCCGTTGACAAATAAAAATAATCAAGCGCGTGGATAGTACGCAGAACGCGTTGAGTGTGTGTGCGGGTCAGCGCGCGCGCGTACGTCCGCGCCAATGTGTTATGTATAAGTTGGTACTAGGGCCGGCCGGTAAGTTGGGCCTGGACAAAAAATGAGTACAATAAATAAGCTTATATTTGGGTAATTTTTAATATTATACAATTATTACCCGATTTCGAGGAAAACAAAGCTTTCATAGACTGAGGCAACGAGTGTTGATCGAGACCACAGGTCGGGATTAACATTGATTCTCGAGGTTATAATTATTTTGTTATATTATATGTGAAAGCAGAAGTAAAGACCCATCCGCACTGCAGTAACAAGGACTAACCGTAACATTTGACATTTTAGACAATTAGAAACTGTTGTTTCTAATGAGCTGCTGCACACGCACGTACGTGATATAGTCCGGCAACAATCGTTACGACAAAAATAATTAGAATAGTTTCCAGGAAATAGCCACGTGACACTTCATAAACAACGAATCACAGCCATGGATTATTATGTATATATTCATCGGCACGCGACAAAAACATTTCGCAGCGAAATTGGGGTGCTTAATTTATAGCCCCTTATATAGCTGTATAGCTGTTTGAAGATTATAATGACATCTGTCGAACAAATCGGTTTGTGTTCAGGTAAAAAAAATTCTCTCTCTCTCTCTCTCTCTTGATATATATATTTATATACATACATACACATATATATTTCGCGCTCTCCCCCACCCCACTCTATTCTCTCTTAGCTCACCTTGAGCATTGCTCAAAGCTGAGCTATTGCTATGGGTCGTCGTACGTGCCGTGCCGTCTGTGCGTCCGTCCGTCCGTCAACATCTTGCTACGAGTCAACGATAACTCAGGAACCGTTTGACCCACATGTTTGAAATCGGGTATAGTTGTTACTGCTATGCTCCCATATCTGAACATTCCTATTTTGTGCAGGCACGCCAGTCGACGTACTTTCGAGCCACTGCAATTTTTGGCAAAATTGGAATTGCCATTAGTCCAGTTCAAGGTCTCAACGGATTTTGCTCATTTTTGGTATGTGAATGAATAAGGGTTAGGGGTTTTGATATTTAAAAAAAAATTATGCAATTAGGTAGGTTTGCAATTATATAGCATATTATATAGACACGCAGATAACAAACAGTGTGCTGTCACACTCGTCTGGTTCGTTTTACAAGATTTCCATTGACAATATCTTTAATGCAAAATTGGTATTTCCGCTCCACCATGCCGATAAAACGTCTATATTAGCAGTAACAGTTTTTAAACATGGCGGAACGCAGGCCATAACCTATTTATTCTCGAACGCCATCCGCTAAGAAACATCAAAGCGGGTATAGGCGGCCATCTACCGTCACAATTGTGATTCATTTTGGTTTATAAATTATTATTGCAATATAGCAGATGGGCAACCGTGTGCTACCCGCCTAGAAAAACTCATACGAAGTAAAACTTCTATGCAACGCATTAAGCCTTGGACAAAGTTGTGTATATGGGCAGTAAGGGAAACACATTGTCACGTGGGTATATAGCAGCTTACGATGAATATAGCGTAATCCTCTTCAATCTTACACGTTACCCATCGGAGCTCCACTTTTTAGGCAGTGCTAAATCTGAATATGTAAAACGTTAAATGGCGATCATCTTAGGTGTAACACGCATACTCGCCCACATCTCAGAATTTCACATCCTCAAACATTTATTTTCACCGATAAAAAATTACACATAAATTATCAGGAGTATATAATGGGAGTTCTCACCATAGTATACTCTTTGTTTGCTATAATGTAGCATCGATTGGTTGCTGCCAATTAAAACTGACTTCTTCTGCACTCACTCATTTGTGTCTTTTTGTGGTAGAGCTCAGTGTCGCATTTGCCACTTTCATTTCACTGAGGGATTAGGTCCGAAATGTAGGTTCTCTCCAGGCATTCCAGTCTAGAATTTATGGCTGGCTGCGTGAGTACTTCTAAAATTCAGGCAATGCTATACATGCATAAATCTTTAATATTGTGTGGGTGCGGGCTAACAATTGTTTGCCGTAGCATATAAATGTGTGCTGTGAGCTGACCATTCCAACAAAAATAGTTGCGCGGGCAGTCCCTGACCAGTCCCCGTGGGATTCAGGTTTGTGTCAAAGCGACAGTGCCTGACAACACCGGCGTAAATTCAAAATCAAGTCGGCTTTAAGGACATCGGCAAGTTTTTATTAACACTGCCAGCTATTGATGATAGATGCATAAAGAGTAATAAAAAGTTCTTCTTAGTAAGGCACAGCTTTGGCTGGTTCACACACATTATCACAAGCGCGACTTATTACCTGCATTCACACGGTAATCGGTTTGGCTCGAGCTTAAAGGGTAAATTTGGCTCAGGGCTAAATTTGGCTCGGGCAGTGATTAAGTGCGGAGCGTTCAACGACGTACCGCAAGTGAATACTGT